GAGCAGCATCTTCAGTATTGTGTTTAAGAATCCGATGAGCTCTAAAAAACTTCCATCCAGCACTCTCACAGTGAACAGCGCAATGCCTTTTGTCAGATAATGGCCCTGGAAGAGCTACCTCTCAGATCTCTTCAAGTGCTCCACACACAGTACGGGGTAGGACCCTTCCCAGCCATAGTCCAACGTTGACCCAACGTTATGTTTCCTAGGAGTCTACTTGCTGGATGACAGCCTCCTCTACGCCATGCAGGTCGTGGATGGGTGGTTATATGACCATACTTCACCACGCAGTGCGGGTTGATGAAGGCGAGGTTTATGCCGTACCACCCTCTGCTGGCCACAGCGTAGCCCCGGGGCAGCCTATAGCGACCTGTTTCATGAGTGGTGGTCGCCCATCCACGCACTGTCCAGGGTGACTTCTGCTTAGCTCGCAAGAACCTGACACGATTGGGGCGGTGCATGCCGGGTGCTTTGGTAATCGGCAAGAATCTCAAAGGTGCAGTCTGTGGGGCTCAGGGCGTCTCTCTACAGTTACTGAGAGACAGGAAACGCTCTACCAGCTGACGTGTTGAGCCGTGGTGGTCTCTGAGTGTTGTAATTTCAGTGGTCGAATCTAATCGGATATAAAAGTCTCCTTTTGGGATTATGGTTTCGAAGAAAGGAAATAGGTGCAAATGCTTATTATATTTTCGCTCAGGAACACGTTTTCTTTTGCAATAAATTCGGGTTTGCTAAGTTCTACATGAACCGGTGATTGTGCGTATGGCAGCAGTGTGCGAGGTGAAGTCGTTCTCAACACTGCTGCCACGATTGAGAGATCATCTCGTGTAGCTCTCTATCGTCAATAACATTGCGGGGTGGGGAGTCGTGGCACAGTGGTTAGCACACTGCACTATTGAACCCGGCGACCCTGGTTTGATTCCCGACCGTGGCTAACATGAGTGGTCAGCAGCGATGTCCGAGCTGCTTGTACCCCCACCCATCACTAACATTGACCAGTGTGGTGAAGTATGGTCAAACACCGATCACCGTAAATGTGTGGGGAGGCCTTCTTCCAGCAGTGGATTGACAAAAGTTGTACATTCATTTATTTGAAACATCGTATATTTGTCTAAAGTATAGTTAAATATTATTTTAAATACGCTGATAAGCTGTCATTTTGATTACCTGCCACGTGCAACTTGATTAATATTTCGTTTTAAAGTCTTAGCCGTACTCTAATAGGTGTTAAGTGTGCCTGTTACAGTCGCTGGTCTCTGTCTTGAATAGACGTTTAGTCGCAATGGGCACCCTTAGGTATGAAACGTGACCCTGAATAATCAGAGATACTTCATGCTAAGCACACAGAGAGCAGCGCTCAGCTCCTTTGGGATGCCCCGAGTCACAGTGGTGAAAATTCCACAGTGCTATGACTGATGTCAGTCTCTTCGTAGAGCAAAGACTATTGATCAGAGATCGCATAAATCACATGAGCATGACATCTCAAAATAACTTGAACCTGATACTGTACTTGGTAATACATGTACGCCTAACAATAGCTTCGGGGAATTTCATACGGGCAGTAAATGTCTGTGTCTCTATTCAAGTGCGTTTTGAAAATCTGAAGGGCTCTCTGCAAGTGCGTGGCAGTGGTTGAGTCTCTTGTAAGAGGTAAAGGCGCAGCTCTGCACTCGCTCACTCGCGCCACTGCCGGTGGAAGGGCCTCTACTAGAGGGAGCTGCAGAGAGCCCCTCTACACTCTAGAGGTATTTTGTTTGCTCTGCCACGCTAGCCAAGCGTCTAGGGAGAGGTGGGAGTGCCCGCACTTTGACTCACCACACGCGACCCGCCGACAGACTGTGGCGATGGTCTCGTTCCTACTGCGAGTGAAATCTGAAGCGGTCCTGGACCTCCACCCTTCACCAGCGTGCACTGCCCAGCTTGGTGAAGTTTGGACAAACAGCCCCCATTATTGCCAACGCAGTGTGTGGGAGCTCTTCACCCAGCAGTCGGTTTACAAAAGGTTGCAGATTATTATTCACAGAGATGTATTTTTACATTAATTTATCGTACAACAGCATACGTCTGTGTGTCAAATAAAAAAATCAGATTTGATCAACTGGCTCTCCAAGTAATGCTTTTGTAGAGGTGGTGCGGGGACACGGCCAGGGTTGAGTGGGGGGGGGGGTCACGCAGGGGACAAGGAACCACGCACAGGGGAGTCGTTGACGAACGGCGTCGATGCAGGGGACAGCAGATCGGGAGAAGCCCCAACAGCTACACAGAGTCAGTTTAACACGCAGGAGGCTTGCGCGACCAATTTCATCCATAATAGAGGTTTTTGGGTTAGATAGCGTAAATATATAGATGTGTCGTTAAAACCCGCCACCACCCGACACAGCCAACTACTAAGGGTTGTCACGTAAACACGAATTGGCAGTTTACGTGATAACCTCTATTATGGAGATACAGAGTGGTGGGAAACAAGAGAGGGGTGGGGGGGGGTGATCAGGAGGCGCGAGACAGCGGCGAGGTGACAACAGCGGTGACCGTGCCCTGCCCTGCAGGTGGCGGTGTCGGTGTTGAACGTCGCCTCGCCAGGGCGAGTCACGTGGTCTCCCCGTCACTGACGAGGCGCTGGAGTTGGGGACAAGAAGCGACTTGAGACGAGTCTCGCCCTTGCTGTGCCTCATCAGCGAGGCGCGGAGATCTGAGATGCAGCTGCATTTAAACATTGCGCGTTTAAACACTGCACGTTTAAACACTGCACTTTTAAACACTGCACATTGAAACACTGCACGTTTAAACACTGCACATTTAAACACTGCACATTGAAACACTGCACGTTTAAACACTGCACATTTAAACACTGCACGTTTAAACACTGCACAGTGAAACACTGCACGTTTAAACACTGCACGTTTAAACACTGTACGTTTAAACACTGCACATTTAAACACTGCACGTTTAAACACTGGACATTTAAACACTGCACGTTTAAACACTGCACGGTTAAACACTGCACGTTTAAACACTGTACATTTAAACACTGCACGTTTAAACATTGCACGGTTAAACACTGCACGTTTAAACACTGTACATTGAAACACTGCACATTGAAACACTGCACAGTGAAACACTGCACATGTAAACCCTGCACGTGAAAACACTGGACATTTAAACACTGCACCTTTAAACACTGCACGTTTAAACAATGCACATTTAAACACTGTAGATTTAAACACTGCACATTTAAACACTGCACGTTTAAACACTGCACATTTAAACACTGCGAATTTAAACACTGCGTTTAAACACTGCACGTTTAAACACTGCACGTTTAAACACTGCACATTTAAACACTGCACAATGAAACACTGCACGTTTAAACACTGCACGTTTAAACACTGCACATTTAAACACTGCACATTGAAACACTGTACATTTAAACACTGCACGTTCAAAAACTGCACGTTTAAACACTGCACATTTAAACACTGCACATTGAAACACTGCACATTGAAACACTGCACGTTTAAACACTGCACATTTAAACACTGTACATTTAAACACTGCACATTTAAACACTGCACATTGAAACACTGCACATTGAAACACTGCACGTTTAAAAACTGCACGTTTAAACACTGTACATTTAAACACTGCACATTGAAACACTGCACGTTTAAACACTGCAAGTTTAAACACTGCACATTTAAACACTGCACATTGAAACACTGTACATTTAAACACTGTACATTTAAACACTGCACGTTTAAACACTGCACGTTTAAACACTGGACATTTAAACACTGCACATTTAAACACTGTACATTTAAACACTGCACGTTTAAACACTGCACGTTTAAACACTGGACATTTAAACACTGCACGTTTAAACACTGCACGTTTAAACACTATATTTAAACAGTGCAGTTAAACACTGCACATTTAAACACTGTACGTTTAGACACTATATTTAAACACTGTGCATTTAAACACTGTAAATGTCAACACTGTCCATTTAAACACTACACAAAACACTGTACATTTAAACACTGTACATTTAAACACTGTACATTTAAACACTGTAAATGTAAACACTAAATTTAAACACTGTACATTTAAACACTGCACATTTAAACACTGCACAATGAAACACTGCACGTTTAAACACTGCACGTTTAAACACTGCACATTTAAACACTGCACATTGAAACACTGTACATTTAAACACTGCACGTTTAAAAACTGCACGTTTAAACACTGCACATTTAAACACTGTACATTTAAACACTGCACATTTAAACACTGCACATTGAAACACTGCACATTGAAACACTGCACGTTTAAAAACTGCACGTTTAAACACTGTACATTTAAACACTGCACATTGAAACACTGCACGTTTAAACACTGCAAGTTTAAACACTGCACATTTAAACACTGCACATTTAAACACTGCACATTTAAACACTGTACATTTAAACACTGCACGTTTAAACACTGCACGTTTAAACACTGGACATTTAAACACTGCACGTTTAAACACTGCACGTTTAAACACTATATTTAAACAGTGCAGTTAAACACTGCACATTTAAACACTGTACGTTTAGACACTATATTTAAACACTGTGCATTTAAACACTGTAAATGTCAACACTGTCCATTTAAACACTACACAAAACACTGTACATTTAAACACTGTACATTTAAACACTGTACATTTAAACACTGTAAATGTAAACACTAAATTTAAACACTGTACATTTAAACACTGTACATTTAAACACTGTACATTTAAATACTAAATGCAAACATTGTACACTTAAACACTGTACATTTAAACACTAAATATAGACACTGTAAATACCGCACCACACTTTACAATCCACTGCTGGATGAAGGCCTCCCCCCGCGCCGTGTAGGCCATGGGGGCTGCTTCACTTGGTGTGCTTCACCGCGCCGGTCAACGCCGGCTGGTGAAGTGGAGAGGGCCTGGGGCCAGGCGAGACATCGCTCGCCACTGACGTGAGCCGTGGCCGGGATCGAACTCGAGCTGGCGAGTTCGTAGCGCAGTGCAGGGGCCACCGCGCCACTGCTCCTCACTTCCATGCTCGGTGAACCCTCGTCGCCGGATGACAACGCGGGAAACACGTGGACTCCCACCTGTCCCGTCTGTGTGGGATAGAGTGTGACCCCCTCGCACGAGTGTGTGTTCTCTGGGTGCTCTGGTTCCCTCTCACGTGCGAGCTCTCATTCAGCGGCTGACAGCGTCTTACTACAGAGGGAACTGCAGAGCGGCAGTTAAAACGACTGTGCGAGTTTATTAAATGACACCACAGTTCGTCGGTCGTGTGATATGCGGTAAACTGCGGCTACCTCCATCCCTTACAAGCATTGAAGCGTAGCTCGAATATACCCCTCTCTAGAGCTCCCTCTAGTGCAGACCCTTCCACCAGCAGTTGAGTGAGCAAGCACTTGCAGAGCTGCGCCTTTACCTCTTAGCTCCTGGACAAGAATGGCAGTGAAATTGTCTACCTTCATGAACACTGCCATTTTATTTCCTAGTTGGTTTGGCCAAAGATGCTGACAACTGCATGACCCCCGCACCGAGACGAGTGCCCCCTGCACGTTCGTCTCGCTGGCTCGCAGCCCTCGCGAGGCGCCAGGCGCCTGCACCACGTGCGGGCGGGTGGACGAGTGGAGGCCGTCTGCAGGCAGAGGGCGAAGCCGCCTGGTCTGGTGGGGGGCGACGTGGACGGAGATCGTGCACGGGGAGATGTGAGCACAGGGGTTCAGTGCAATTGCAAGGGGAATGACGTAACGAAAGTGACGGTACGTACACACACATATATACACGCACGCATTTGTACAGTATGTAGACACGTACTGTACATTCATACACACACACACGTATGTAGACAGGTGCATGCATATGTATGCACGAATGCAGCTACATGCACACATATATAGTACACATATACATCTGTATAGATACACATGCATCTATATAGTACACATGCATCTGTATAGATACTCATGCATCTGTATCGATGCACATGCATCTGTATAGATACACATACATCTGTATAGATACACACGCATCAATATAAATGCATCTACATGCAGCTATGCTCCTTAAACCAACAACGGGCTTCAATACAGATTCATCCAAAACGACTACAACATAAGCCGTCAATGAGTCCATCATGAGCCCGGATAATCACGAATACAGTCGTTGTGTGTACATCGCATCCTATCTCGCAGTACAACCACACCATGAAACACTCCTTGACCATCTTCCTGCCACTCGCTCGTCCTGTCAACCACAGCGAATGTCGCTCCGCACAGCATCCACATCATGGGGACTTGGAGTGTAGTCATTAATATTGTTATTGGCAGGTTTTTATTTGGCTTCGATGTTATCAATACTTGTGCGTGTAGATTCATTTTACGTACAGCGCGTTGAGAAAACTTCAATATGAAAGGCGCTGTATACAAAGAGAGCTTAGTATTATTATTATAACAATTATCTCGCAAATCCGACCTCCGTGTTACCCCACGCTGCGTGACAGGCGACAGTCGCCTCGCTGGAGCAGCGGTGACCTCGACCGCGACATCCGAGCGCTGTGAGGATCTCGCAGGAGCGGCAGAGACCGCGACACCACGAGACCTCGCGGGTCACGAGAACCACTCGTGGTGGTGGTGGCGACAGCGGATGCTGATGATGATGGGATCCGCCAACAGTGCCACCTCCCCGCCTCGTTGTGAATAGGGGTGGGGGGAGGGGGCTCCCTGGCCGACCTGGGCCCGGTAGCACTGCAGCCATCGTCCCCCGGGACCCGGCGTCGCCCCTGGGTGCATGGAGCGGGCGGCGTCTCAGACGAGAACAGAGGAGGAGGCTGCCGCCCGCAGCGTCGTCATCTGAGTCGACAGTCACCGCATTCACGGGGTTATGAGACGCTCCGGAACAGTAAGACGCAGCCTAAAGCTGTGCTCGTCGTCAATACACGCATACAAATGTGGTCACACACACACGCGCGCACGTACCGGATTATAAGACGCACCACTAACCGCTAAGCAAGATACAGGAGGGAAGAGTTTGTCTTCTAATCCGGAGTATGCGGCACAGTGATAGTCATTCATCTCAAGTGTAAACAATCGCCAACGTAATTGCATCCTGCTGTGTACTCGCTGCGCTGTGTTCCTTTTGGAAAGACTGCGAGGGTTTTTCTTGTTAGGGGCCAGCCCCTGTCTGAGAGTGGCACTGGGGGGCCCTGCAGTCAACTTGGCCTCGGGGCCACCACCGCGTGAGCTGCGTGGCGGCTGTGCTCGCTGAAGCGAAGCCGTCCAACCGCGCCCCTTGGGTGTGAGGAGGAGTGACCTGGGCCTCCTCGCTCTGTCACTAATATCGCGATAGGGAAAACTCGTACAGCGATACAATCAAATATCGCGATAAGAAGAACTCGTGCAGCGATAAAATCAAATATCGCGATAAGAAGAACTCGTGCAGCGAGCGCTAGAATCGCGTCTCGTAGCCAAGTAACCATTCACTCCGTGCCGATTAATAATAGCCATTTACTGTACTTTTGAGGCATGAGCAATTAACACTTACTACCCAGGAATAGTTTATTCTTTGTTACACAATGTTCTCATTCCTGCAGCAGTGCACTCAGAGGCGGCGTTGCTCGAGTTCCGCGCGTCGACTCTGGGGCCCCGTGTGGCCGCGCCGCGCTCTGCTGCTGGGGAGCGCTCTCGCCTGAAACAACGAAAGCTCCCCGTTTCGCATTCCGTTACTTTCGGCTTTCGGGTGAGGCTGGGATTTCCTCTGAGCGCATCGCGCAGCTCCGCTGCTGGCAGTAGCGCGCGGGCCGTCATCGTGCCACCAGCTGGTGTCACCTGTAGGTGTTGCTGGCACCCGTCCAGCACCACCGGACTTGCCACCCGCCCCATGCGCCACCCACACGCGCATCCAGCAGCCGCCTGCACCACGCGCACTGTCCGTCTCGTACCCATCCATCTCTCACTCTCAACGTCTTGACGCCCCCTCTCTCTCGACCCATGAGCTAACGAGCAGGATGATATCATTATGATAATGTAGGACATGGATCAGAAATTATACACCGTGACGACGTAAGGTTACAGAGGGACACACAGACAAAACTCCCAAAGTTATCGAGAACACCAGAGTGTGCTGTTAACAGCACCACACACGGTCGCATTTGTCCTCCTACTTGTAGTGTTTACACATCTGCGACCATGTCATCCATGGTAGGGAATCGAACCCAGCCCCACCAGCACCCCGTGTACGCTGTCCCGCTGAGTCATATCAAGTGACGTCAAGAGACCACGCCCCTGCTAGACGTCGTATAAATACTCCTGGCTGTGGCCCCGCTCACTGAGAGACAGCAGCGTGGTCTTGCTGTGTGTCGTACAGACGCGCACTTGCGAGGTGCTGGTCAGCAGAGGCAGTAGGGACACGAATCGTGTTTTACTTTTTAGAGCGAACCTCCAGCGCTGCCTGATATGGTGGCACAGCGTGTGATGGAGGTGGTGGTGGCGTCGGTGGTGTTGGCGGTGGTGGCCGTCAAAGCTGCATCTGGTAAGTTGTTCCAACGCGTCACCATCCAACTACAAAGTCATTCTCGCTGCCGGCTCTCTCTATCCCTGCTCTGATGACGGCAGCCGTAGGTTTGCCACCTGTACGTTAATAGTATGGACCGTACGTATGGTCAGATGTAATGTCCGCCACTCCTCGGCAGTGGTTTGACTCTGAAAGGGCTTTGCGTTATTCGGCGCCGTTGTTCCCAGCGCACGTGTTGCGGGATACGCCTTGGACGTGCGGCGCAGCGCTGGCGTCCGTGCTCAGTGGAATTCTCCGTACGCTGCTGTTGGGCAGTGCCAATGAGCGATGTGCCGTAGTGCCGGAGCACCGGCGCCAACGATAACGCAGTCCCGCACCGGGCAGACCTCGAGCCAGCGCTGCCATTGCCTGAACCCGGAGCCTCCTCGACGTCGAGAGGGGCCGGGGTGCAGTGTGGGCCTTAGAGACGCACACGAGGGGACGCGGGGAGGGACGCGCGCGCAGAGACACGGAGGCATGAAGAGTGGCAGACACCGACAATGATCTTGAGATGTAGAGGCACACAGGGACGTAGAGACACGAGCGGAGACATGGAGACATGCAGTCAGAAACCAGAGCAGGTGCAGACACCGAGATTGAGATAGGAAGATAAAGACACACGGAGACACACAGAGACACCCACATATAGAGACACACAGACTCATGGAGACATGCGGAGAGACAGACACGCAGTCATAAACATCAAACGAGGTGCAGAGATAGACACGTGGGCACACATAGACATAAAGAACACTATGTAACACAATTTTTATTCCTGAGTACGTAATGTTATTTTGTTATTGATTATGCCTAAAAAGTATAGAAAATGCTTATTATTCCCCACAAACTTTGCTTTTGTGACCAGGACAGTGATATTTAGAAATGTACTTATTTTCAATGAGAAAACGGACACATTTGTGTCTGCACCTTTAACCTTTTACATCGCTCTACTCTACTAACACAGATCACGCACAACAACACAAACGAGAGAAGAAGAGAACTCGAATGAGTCGTGGCGCGGTACTGAATCCCAGTGGGTGATGGGACGGGTGGGATAGAGAGAGGGGTGGGTGGTGTTGGGCGAGCGATTGCCCGAATCCGTCTGTTCCCCCGGGCGGGGCAAGGGGGTTTCCCCGCCGCGTTCACCCGGCACGCGCCCCTCGTGCGGGCAGCGCGCGCCGTGGTTCCACGGCACGCGTCTCGCGGTCCACCCCCTCCAGCAGCCATCTCCAATAGAGGCACTGCCACAGCAACGTAGCCCTGATAGTCAATGAGGTGGGAGCGAGCGGTGGCAGAGTGGTTCGTGCACTATTACGCTCTGAACCTGGCCCCTCGTAGCCACGAGCTCGATCCTGACCTTGAGTTTAATTCCCACCCACGGCTTGCACCAGTGGCACCGACTTAACATCACAACGTGGAGGAGGCCTTAACCCAGCAGAAGCTTGACACAGAGCCGTGGTAGCCATGGGTAGTGCATGCTCATGTAGGGATCTGTCTCAATCGATCCACTGCTGGATGAAGGCCTCCGCCAGCTGAGTCGGTCATGGGTTCTTATCAACCTCCCAGGCTGTGTCAACTCGGCTCGATGTGTTACCGTGAGAGCGATTGGCTTCAGCGCTACCGCTCGATGCGCGTTGTTGCTGCGTGTGCGCCACTGCCAGCGCAGTGCCCCTGTGTGCTGCGCGTCTCACGCAGTCTGTGCCCTTGTCTTGCAGAGCCCTCGGACGAAGAGATTGTGAAGAAGTGCGGCTTTTCTCTCCAGGCGATCCACGGTGAGTGAGTACCGGCCTATTGAGAGTGAGTACTGGCTCCTGTGAGCGAGTACCGGCTCCTGTGAGTACTGGCTCCTGTGAGTACCGCCTCTTGAGAGTGATTTTTCAGTTTTATTTGGTATAGCCCTGTGAGCTATTCGGCTCTTAAATCGGGTGCAACCACAACAAACAAATAACAAAAACACGAACAAGAAAACATCTTAAAGTGACAATGTGACTGTGCAAACAGAAAATCCATGAAAAAAACAGCAAAATATTCCTGAAAAAGCACCGTACACCAACGCTGTGTGCAAAAAATCCCAGTGGGATGCAAGTCAAACAACAACAACAACAACAACCACAAGAAAACTTCAATTAAGGCCATCAGTCTAACTCCGTACTACAACAAAACAAACATGTCCAAACCAAAAAACTTTTCGAAATCACCAAAAAATAAAGCCATAATTGCAATGTAACAGTGATCATAGGGACTGTGACCAAATTTTTAACAATAAACTACATAAATAACATGTAACACCAAACCCTAGAGTCATAGCTGGCTGCATGAGTTACTCCACAACAACAGAAGCATCGGTCGGAGTATCAGATTTTTCAATGCACCTTTAAGATCAGCACGCTAAATCAAAATACAGATAATACTTTGCAGCGTTATCCGGAGCGAAACATTTGATTTGATTTTATGCCAATGAATACCAGTGGCAGCTAGGGGTGTACAACTCCTCTAGAGCAGTTTTGAGAGAAGATCTCATTGGTAGCGATTCAAGTTGCAGTTTATTGGCAATAGCATTCCAGACCCTGGGAGCATCAATAGCAAAGGCCCTTCCTCCAGTTTTTGTACGGCAATAGGGAATGTGAAGCTGGTAAATGAGCGAAGGCCTGAGGTCAAATTTGTTTTTTGAAACAGAGAGGAGATCCAGCAGGTAGTCTGCGGATTTTTTTGGAAGTACATCGTGAATAATAAGATCTGGTGCACAAGCCATCGAACATTAAGAGATGGTAAGTTTGACCCAATGTAGAGATCACAGTGGTGAGTCCTATATGGGCAGTTCAATGTAAATCTTAAGGCCGAGTGATAGATGAAATCAAGCTTCTTCAGTACAGTACTTGGGGCTGATTTATACACGATGTCACAGTAATCAAGTAGAGGCAGTATGGTAGCTTTTATCAATTCCAAACGGAACATAGGGGGGAAGCAGTGCTTGTGTCGATACAGAAAACCAATTTTTACTTTTGTCTTTTTACCAATATAATCAATGTGATCTTCAAAATTCAGTTTTGAATCCAGGATGACCCCAATATACTTATAGATCTTGACTTGCTGTATTTGATAATTATTTAAGGAATGTAATTGGGGAAAAATAACTTCCTGCTTTAGTCCTGGTGAGAAGCATAGCACCTTGGTTTTGGAGGTATTCAGGACTAGTTTAAGAGCAACTAGCTGATGTTGTAGTTTGTTGAAATCACCCTGGAGCTTAGCAATCATGTCATCTAGAGAGCGGCCAGCAGAAATCAGTATTGTGTCATCTGCAAAAATATTTACCCTGGAATGATCCAGTTCAGTGCCCAAGTCATTGACATAAAGAGAGAACAAAAGGGGGCCGAGGATGGAACCCTGTGGAACCCCTTTTGTTATCTTAACACTGTTTGACCTCCAACCATCTGTGAATACAGTTTGGGTGCGAGAAAAGAGGTAATTTTGCAACCATTTTACTGCGTTTTTGGAAAAACTGAGGCAACTTAGTTTACTAAGCAGGGTGTTGTGGTCTACTGTATCAAAAGCTTTGGACAGGTCAAGAAAAAGCCAGGCACAGTACTGCTTATTATCAAGGCTACTGCAAATGTGATTCAGAGAGTCTAATGCAGCAGATATGGTGCTGTATTTTTTTCGGAACCCAGATTGTTTTAGATGTAGTAGATTGTTGGTGGACAGGAAACTGCTAATTTGGTAGTTCAATAATTTTTCAAAAAATTCATCAACGGGGACAAAATTGAGATAGGTCGGTAGTTATTTGGATCATCTTTAGGGCCCCCTGTGTGAAGTTGACGGACATAGGAATGTTTCCGTCTAGAGGAAATTATGCTTATTTGATGGACCGGTTGAAAATATGGGCTATAGGTTTGTATATTAGGTGACCAACAGTTAGTAGAGCAAAGACGGGAATACTATCTGCTCCGGTAGAGGAGGACCCTTTGAGGTAGGATAGTTGTTTCAGAACATTACTTTCGTCGATTGGCTGGAAACTAAATTCGTTTAATGTTTGGACAGGGGTGTAGGAATTTGCATGAGCAGGGGTGACTCCCAAATATTATCAAAAAGATGGCAATTCCACCACGGTTAGATCCACGGTCAAGCCGAAAAGGTTGTAGTTGTCAATCGTAATCTGCAAGTCATTGACGGCAGGAGTCAGAAATGTTTCTGTTAGGCAAAAAATGTCCGGGTCAAGATTTGCCACTTCTAGTTTTAGTTGATAATTTAATCAAAATACCTCTGATGTTGATATGAATAACATCAACCACTTTCCTCCTGCCATAAAAATCTACAGAATTATACGAGTTCTTTATATTTGGGCCAGGATGAAGCTCAATACCACCCAGAAATAAGAAAAGTAGAATTAATAGTTTGCACAAGTATTTTCTGTGAAAGGATGAAGAGCGGCGAACCTTGGACGAATAGCAGTAGCTCGCAGATGGTGTTATTTTTAAGAGCAGAATGAAGTTTGGATTGAGTGCTGGTGAAGTAATGAGACAAAGATAGGGTTTAAAAGGATACAATGATGGAGTGTAGAAGTGTCTATAAGCTGTTTCAGTTGCTGGTGTAGTGGCAAATCGAGCAACAAGTATGGATGCAAAGTAACGAGGGTAGCCGTTTGTAGAGTTGAGTGTGGCACTAGATATGGCCGGGAGGGACAGCAGTAGGATACACAGCAGGAGAATTGCCATCTCTAAAATATCCGGGGTAAACAGATTAACACACAAACGGAAAAGAAAAAAATATATATACTTGTAGGCCGAGCGCGAGAAAACGTCTTCCCGCACTCGTCACACATGCACGGCTTTTCGCCCGACCAGACGGCCCCACTGAAGCCCACACAGGGGACTCTTCATTCACGACCGGCCGTCTTGACGATCTCCGTGAAGTTTTCCAGGAACACAGCTTGGGGTCCGTCGCAATGTTGCCTTGGCAGGAACACAACTTGGGGTCCGTGGCAATGTTGCCTAGGCAGGAACACAGCTTGGGGTCCGTGGCAATGTTGCCTTGTGGCAGGAACACAGCTTGGGGTTCG